ACATACCACTGTCCCACACATGTATCCAGGGCTCACTGCAATGTGCACATTCTCCACCAGGATTTCAAGGCAGGCTCGGGAGAGCCCCCTGCTCCTCTGGAATGCCAGCCACAAGGGTTCCTGAGTATCAACAGCTTCTGCAGCTGTTATTTTGCTTCTCCACTCCTAGTTCTTTTTCCCTTTGCTGAACAGTCGGCACTGGCCAGCCTTGCTTCCCCAGCAGTGCTCATGCAGGGTGTGAGAAGCAGGAGAAACAGGCACAGTGGGACCATCAAGGGACATTCCACTCCTTCCAGCAGAGCTCAGAGCAGAGAAACTGAATCTTGTAGAGGAAAAGGGTTCTAATTCGCTTTGTGGATCTGGATAAGTTGTGGGGTTTTTGTCTGTTTTTTACAGAGAACCATTCTTTCCCTTGAGCTTAATTTTCTATACATTTTAGAACCCAAAAGGCATTGAATAAAAAATATTAAGTAGCACATACCAGCCACATACCTGGTGAAAGACAACTTTAAAGCTCACAGAATAGACAAAACACATCCTCTCTCCCAGCAGCGTTGCCAAGATCTCTGTCTTTAGGAGCAACATGCAGCTAGCGTGAAGAGTGAGAAAATCACAGTACTGCAGAAATTAGGGCAAAATAAGAAAAGCTGTTACGAGAAACAATTCAGTGATCACAGTTAAATTGCATAGGTTAAATTGCATAAACATTATTTTTGATTTAGATATTTGATCAAAATAGTTTAACTTTTTAAATATAATGATATATTAAACTCCTTTTAATTTGTTTTCCTACTACAGCTTCAATCTACAGCTCTGCACTGGGCATGCCGGGGAGGTAGTCTGGATGTTCTGAAATTCTTACTGGACAAAGGGATAAACATAAATGCAAGAGACAAGGTATGTGCTTCTGGGACTCTGCAGCTTTTTTAATTGGACATGAAAAGCTGATCCTTACTCCAGTAGATAATTTTTGGCAGCTGTTTTTGAAGCAGCTTTTACCTGTTCCATGCCACTGACAGCTTCCTCTCCTCCCCCCTCAGCTGCTCAGCACCCCTTTGCACGTGGCTGTGAGAACAGGGCGATACGACTGCGGGGAACACCTCATTGCCTGTGAAGCAGATCTCAATGCCAGAGACAGAGTAAGTACCAGCAGCCTCTAACCTATCAGCTACCAGGTGGCATCAAGCTGCTGACTGCCTTGATAGATCCACTTGCCTGTAAAAATCCCAGACTGTGCAGTTGGGGCTGGACTGTGGTGCTGGACTGGCGGGACTGACGCTGTGGTCCATGTCTCGTGTCTCTAGGAAGGAGACACTCCAATGCACGACGCCGTGAGGCTGAACCGCTACAAAATGATCCGGCTTCTGATTCTGCATGGAGCAAATTTAACTCTAAAGAACTGCGTAAGTAATAGCACAAAAATGAAGCAATTTAAAATGCTTTAAAATAAGTTTCCCTTCAGAGCAGTTCCATAGGCTTCAAGGCTGGGAGAAACTACTGTGAATAGACTTAATTAGATCACTTCAGAGCTAATTAAAGCAGAGCTGCGGCAAGGAAAGTGTAACTTGGGGGTGGTCAGGGAAAATGAGAAAAACACAGTACCTCTTTTAAAACCAGAAAGCATCAGCTGCCACTTAAACAGCATCACATCTTTCTAAGATTTATTTTAATTACTCATATCATACATTGAAAAGATACAATGGACAGGCATTTACTCTGCACAACTCCTGGGCTTCGACCACCACTGAGACAACAAAGATCTTAGCTCGTTAGAAAAATCTCCTTTCTGTTAAGCCCACAGCTGATAGCCAGCCCCAGCACTACATCTGGATGACTGGCTGTTAACCTTACCACTGGGCAACAAATCCCTGTGGCTCAGAGGAGCTTCAAGAAGTCCCACACCTGACTCAGCTCACAGCTGCTGCAGCAGCGGCAGTGTTGCTGGAGCTCTGTGACTACTTGTTAAAATATAGCATATCATAGACCCTTTCTCCCAAACCCAAACCTAGCAGCAGCAGTATGGGGTTTAACAGTGCCAGTCAATGTTTTTAAATTACAATCAATCAAAAATTCAGGGGACAAGGAAGAAAACAGTCACTGGAGCACTCTGCACTCCCTACTCTCTGCCCATCTCCCGGAAGCAGGGTAGCTCCTGGCATTATCCCTCATCAGGGTATGACAATGATAGAAGACAAAGCCTCAAAAGCCAGATACTTGTTGGTCTTATTTAATTCCTGTGGTTCATACCCTAATTAACCAGTACAAACCCTCATCTGAATTCTGAATTAAAGAGAAAAGCATCTTATTGAGGTTTCACCTAAATATATTTCTAATCAGTTGAAACTAGAAGAAAAGAAACACCTGCATGTGCTGCTAATCACAGTATTTGCCAATATGGTTAGACTCACTGAAACCTTTTGCTCTGTAGAGCAAAAGTACTCTGACCTTAGGGAGCGAGACTAAGTCTTGAGCCTGTGTGTGCAGAGGGGTCTCACATCAGGAGATGCAGTGATGTATCTAGGAAAGACCAAGGACTTGGCAACCACTAGATGAAATTAAATCATGCTTCCTCTGCTTTTTTAACCAGCAAGGGAAAACCCCCATGGATCTTGTTCTTCAGTGGCAGAACGGCACCAAAGAGATATTCAACAGCCTGAAAGACAATTCCAAAAAGAATGTCCATCCAGGCAAATTCTGAAGAGAGAAACCAGACCACCCTCTTTTTGCTGCTTTGAAATGCTTCACTCGAACCTGGATGAAAATGCCTTTGAACACAGTATTTTTATTGAAAATATTTATGGCACTGGATTATTTGAGGTATCTTCACTGAAAACTGCAAAAAAACCCCTGCAAAGTAATTATTTTAAAAGACAGATTGAGTGTTAAAATTCCATTGGCTCTAAAATGGCTTTATTTATTTATATTTATTATTTATTTATTTAAAAGCAATTTTTAATGATTCTTAATATTATTTAAGCTTTTTTTTTTAATAGAGCTTTACATCCTAATGCAATCTTTGTCAGCAACATAAATCCTTTTGTCTTAAATGGCAGTATTTCCAACCACATTAGCAACTTTCCTCAAGCCTTCCAACAGCTCTAAATAGCGAATACTTGCAATTGTTGCTTTGTCTCTGCTGAATTCTCACTATTAAAATAATCTGTGAAATGTGCGGTGATATGTGGAAGGGCAATGGAAGAAGGTACACTGAGATGCCAAGTGGATTTAAAGAAATAGTTGAGTAATGGTGTTTACACAGGGTTTGGCAATCGTGGTTGATAAAGAGCTCGAGGACAGAGCTCCAACCATCATGTAATCATTTGGACTGGAGGATTCAGATGTAATGTTGTGAAGGTGAGAGGAGGCAGTATCAGAAATGTGAATTTTTTTTAAGCTAGACTACTACGAAGTATGATGACTGAAGAATGCAGAATCAGATTATGTATATTTGTAAATTTGTACTGCTTTTTCTGTACATTTTGAACTGATCCATTTCAGATTAAATAAACAGAGTGGTTTCTTTTTATTTGCTGGAGTGGATGATGGAGTGGTGAACATGCATGGGGTTATTTTTTCTCTCTTTAAAGGAAGTTCACATCTTGGCCTCTGTAAAATTCTTAAAAACTTAGGAAAGAGGTCTCAGCTCCCAAGAGCAGCCAGCCCTCAAGCCACCTCCCTGCCACTGTTAGATAAATCCCATCTCTTACTTATTTTGTTTAATGGAGGCAGATATGAAAGCAAAAAGACAGTACTTGAGTAAACAGTAAAACAAAGTTACAGTTTTATTACTGGGTTTGATTAAAAAAAAAATCTCATTCTCAACAAGTCAGTACTTACTATGTGGGGCACAAGACAACTCCAGTTACCCAAGCCAAGGCAGATGCGAAGTCCTGTTAGGAAAAGCAGACACTTCTCTCTTTGCTTTAGCAGAAGCAGGACAACCTTCACAATGCTGCCAGCCAGGGCATCATGTCCCATTTCATAGACTCATAGAACAATTTGGGCCGGAAGGGATCTTTAAACATCATCTAGTCCAACCCCCTGCAAAGAACAGGGACATCTTCAACTAGACCAAATTGCTCAGAGCCCTGTCCAGCCTGACCTTGAATGTTTCCAGGGATGGGACATCTACCACCTCTCTGGTCAACCTGTGCCAGTGTTTCACCACCCTCATTGTAAAAAACTTCTTCCTTATATCCAATCTAAATCAACCCTCTTTTACTTTAAAACCATTACCCCTTGTCCTATCACAATAGGCCTTGATAAAAATTCTGGCAAGATCTTTCTTATAAGCCCCCTTTCAGTACTGAAAGGCCCCAATAAGGTGTTCCTGGAGCCTTCTCCACTTCAGGCTGAACTCAGCTCTCCCATCACACTTCCTCACAGGAGAAACGCTCCAGCCCTCTGATCATCTTTGTAGCCCTCTCTGGACCTACTCCAAAGGTCCATGTTCTTCCTGTGCTGAGGACTCCCGAGCAGGACACAGAACTGCAGGCGGGAGAGAGCAGAGCAGAGAGGCATTCCATGCTGTATTCATGCACCAAACACATTTTGCTTCTTCTCTGGTTAGAGCATAATTTTGGAGGTAAGGCCATAAATGACAAACTACTGTATGCATATACATACATGCATATACATACATACATACATATATATATATATATATATATGTATGTTACTCCCCAATACCTATAACAAAATGGCCACAAAGTCAACAAATAAAGTGGTCAGAACTCACAAAGCCAACAAATAATAACATAAAGGAAAAATATCTCATTATTTGTTGAATGAAGCAAAAGCTGTTGTGACTTACACCAGCATTATACAGAACTGTTAAGTCTACTGAGAACTTCCTCTATTCTGCTCAGTCCAGTTACCAAGAGCTCAGAGATGACCCAGTATTCTATGTGTTACGACTTCCACTTGTTGTCAGGTGCAAATAGAGTACCAGAATATTTGCAGTAAAGCTCACTCAAGTATCTTGAGTACAGTAGCTTATGTAATTTTTATATTAGTTTAATCACAAGAAAAACTTCAGTCAACATTTGGAAGAGCTCTGAAAATGCTCTGCTGATTATAAATCTATTACGATTGGTTTTTTGGCAGCCAGATCAGGTTTACTGAGGTACTGAAGGAAGGAAAGGCAAGAGGCAGCAAAATGAACACGTGCACAGACAACAATTCCAGAACAGGCCATAAAGAAGGAAATGACGCAGTAAAGACGATGTGACGTGGAGACTGCTCAGGTCTAGGTGACACAGCTCTTACACTGCAACTGAGACACTCCATGCTGAGCACACATTCAGTGTAACCTTGGGCTCTTCCTTCCCATCTCTGGTAACCATCTAATGTTACTGCCTGGTTTAAAGTGCTGCAGGACACAGATGGCCTTTGGGATGTAAATCTGGCAGGTCAGGTCAGTCACTCCTACTGTAACACAAATCCAAGATACCTCCTAGCAATTGACAGATCCTGGGATCTTCATTAGAGCCACTGATCACAAAATGGAATGGGAAGCAGATTTTTTTTTACTGCAGTATTATCTCTTCACAGGTCATTGAAGGTAAACTTCATCTACTGGTTTGCAGTTGTACAAACGTGTTTAAAACTTAAGAAACTGTAAGAGCTAGACTATGAAGGCGTGTGTTCTTAGAAACACTTTTAATAAAAAAGGAATGAACATGTACAAGTGAAAATTTCCATGTTAGAAATGTTCCATTGACTTTGCACTAATTCCAGGAGACCTAAGGCCAGGTGAAGAGTTGGTCTCCTGGCCAGAAGCCCAGCATGACCTTTCAGATGTGGTGAACTAACATTCAGCAGTCTCATTCACACAGCTTTCCTCACTTGAACATCAGAGGAATAATTCTTCTCCAGGCTAAACAAAGTAGTAAGGGAGGAATTGGGCTGGAGGGTGGAGGAAGACTCAACACTGGGTAAAGAAGAGGCTCCTGTTGACAGTTGTTTCAGTCCTCAAGCTTGAGTCTTAGCTTTTTTGCAGGCTGGTACTGTTGTTTCTTCCTCCTCAACCTTGCGAGGCTTCTTCACCGTGTACACCACCCCACAGGCAGTCTTCCGAGTTTCTAGAATATATAAGCAGAAGCTGCAGTACCTGAAATAAAATGACACTAATGCATTTAAGGCATGCTCAGTTCAGGTGTCCATACCCCAAAGCACAGTTCAACATGTTGAACAGCCAGTCAGTCAGCATACACAGCACGGAAGCAACTGCAGGGGCAGGAGCTGGGGATTCACGGCATTATAGAATAGGGAAACTATGGGGGGATATACAATTGTGGATGTAGATTTACAGCAAACAAAGAAAAACTGAGGTCTGCAGGGACTGAGGGGCTGCAGAGACACAAACCCATCGGAAACCAGGCTTAATCAGTTCAGTAGTCACAGAAGGACACATTCTTGAAGCATTGTCAAAAGCACTTCTGAGCCAAAAATACTGTTCTTAAAAGATATAAAAAAATGCATTCACATACCCCAGGACTCCTAAACAGACTATGTTGGCACAGCTATATTGGCAGAGGATCCCCTACATACCCAATTAATGGTTTTATAGTATTTAAGAATTTTATTTAGCAAACCCTCAACATTACCATAAACTACTAGCATGTGATGTTACCAAAATCCTCATGTTTGCCAAAAAACCTGGTGAAGCCCAATCCAACTTCATAATGACTGGTGAGAGGCTTCTCTGCAAAATTTGAAGGTAGAAGAAATTCCCTACAAATAGTCTGTTAGCAAAGAGGCTCTGAAAGAATCTTGCCAAAATATATTGACTTATTCTGGGCTAGAATTCTTTAGGGGACAGGGAAACAACATCTATTATTTAATTTCACAGATAAGATAGATAGATAAGATAGATGAGGGTCTTGAGAAATTCCACATAAACTTGACAAAAATACTTTCAACACAGTCTACATCTCTATGTACATGAGCAGCAGAGGAGGACCCTGCTCACAGGAATGCCCTCACCAAGAGATCAAAGCTACCTGGCGCAAATTACAGCAGGTTCAAGCCCCACTTCTACTGAAAAAAGAGATGCAACCCAAATCCTACTGTGCATTTGCACCTTAGAGCAACTCAAGTTTTTGGGAAGGTGACTAGAAATCACACCTACCCAACAAACCTTGACAGAGGCCGAAATTAAGGGCTAGATATGACTACTCAGAAAGTTAAACTGCCATCAGAATAAACAACAAAAATCAAGAAACTAAGAACCTGTTCTGAAACAGGGGACAGTTTCACTATGAAGCACAGCAGGCAGGTCCCTATTTTGGCTAAACCATTTATGACTCATTAATGTGGTTAAGCGAGTGCTCCAGCACAGACAGCATCACCAGTTCCCCATGATTTGCTAACATGGTTACATGGGAAAAAAAAAACCCTTGCCACACAAGCTCCTCTTCATTCATTGGACAAGGGAGCTAAAACCCTAATCTGACTTGCTTTGTAAGGTCTCAGACCTTTTGGAAAATATGCATTAAGAGGAATTTATTTTAGCAAATGCACATGTTACTTAGAGGAGCTTACAAGTGCTCACCTCCATGAAGCATGGTGGCTCTGCAGTTGGTGGACACGGCTGCCTTCGCTTCGCTTTCTGACAGGCCAAACAGCAAACCTCTGTCAGCATGGCTCAGGATCAAAATGCACAGAAGGGAGCAAACAGAATAGGGAAGTGTCTCCGCACATAGGTTTGCTTACTCTACAAATAACTGGGAATTAGCAAAGCTGTAATTCAAAGTGACATTTTGCATAAGGTTACCCAGAGGCAGGGAACTGAGGCACCCAATTCTCCGGGCTGCAGTTCCCCAGCAGCCCTTCTGGAAAGCTCTTGGCAACACTGCTTTTCACCAGGCAAGAAATTGTACTTTTGAAAAGAAAAGTCTGTCAATGCAGGAACATTTTAGATATGAATAATCAAGCAAAAAAAATCACCCCATGGAAAATTTCAGTTTTGGGGAAAGGGCACTGTCTGATGCAAAAGCATCATGCTGAAAAGTTTCCAGCCACCTTCGGCAGGGATGACACCAGGTTAGGTGTGTTAATTTGGGTTGAGCCTGACTGCTCATTTTAAGAGGGAAGAAAATGTTGCACATAAAATCCTTCCGGGCCGCACAACCTCCTACACAGTTCTCATGACTCAGAGCACGCTCCTTCCCTTCGAGGGACAGTCCAGAGATGTGCTTGTGGGGTGGGGAGAGTAATAAAAATGCATCTGAGTTCCTAAAAGAAGGGAAGGAAAGACACTCTCCTTGGTTTCCAGAACACAACCACTTATTTAACATTACGTATGTAACTAAGGACTGGAAAATTCAGAAGTAATCAGTACTCAGATAGGAACTTCTTCTAATTTTGCATAAATACAATTTTATAGCTTTTGCTACCAAATATGTGGTACTTTGGAGATCCTAAGTATTAATTTCTCATTTGGTTCACAGTGTCCATTGACTTGTATGTTTTTTATTCATTTCTCCATTTACACCCACACAACATCAATGCATATCACAACAAAACATACCTGTAGCTGAACACAGACATTACTATCTGCAGTGACTACTCATGCCACCCCATGACCAAGATCTGTTGCTCCTTCCACACACACACAGAGCCCTGATTCATTGAAGTGGTCACCAACAAGTATCACTGTATAAAGTTCAAGGACTGTAAAGGATGAAAGAATTTCAAAACCACTTTGAACTTTCAAGTGTTACTACTAACTGCTGTCTTTGACTGGTGAAAAGGATACAGATTAGCCACGTCATAAGGACCTCGTAGTTCTAGAGGCTAAAAAAAAAAGAAGTTTGAATATGTGCATGCCCTTGCTTGCAGGCTGACAGAGTGAGCAAGCAGGACAAGGTTATCAGGAAGGCAAGATTAAATTCTACATTATAGCAAGCTGCTGAAGATACACTAGGAAATCAAACAAATACCACTGGTTTGGCAGAGTCCCCAGCTGGGAGAAAACTGTCATGGAAAATATCACAGCAGCAACAAAAACCCCCCAGAAGTCCCAACAAAACAACAACAAAAAAATCCCCAAACCCGTAATACAATTCTTTGGTAAAACAGATTGGTTAAAAAACTCCTGAAGATGGCAATCATATTTAAACTTACAATTTTTATATGTTTAGTTTTTAATTAAAGCTGTATTTTAAGCCACAGATAAATCTTCAAATTGTTCTGACTTCAAAAAAAAAAATCTGGGACTTACCCTTTCAGCTGCACTAGATATAACTATGTTCTGGAAAACAAAAGAAGACAAACATTCATCTCTCAGACAGCATCAAGAAATGAAAAAAACCCCAGCAAACAGCACAGACTTTATGAGCATTAACTAAGTTCAGGCTCAGAGCTCAATTAAACATCAGAGTATCTGAGGCCCTCAGATGAAGTGAACTCTAGCAGGGTGGGATCTTAATTCGAGGACACATAGGAGTTGACTAAGTTCAGCACCTTTAAGAGGGACAGGCTAAGCAGTATAAATGTCAAGAGCGGCGGCATTAAGCAAGCACCTATCAGCCTGTATCGCTCATAGTGGACTTCAAAGGGATCCTAAGGGTAAAGAAAAAAATGCAGAGCTGCAGACATGGCATTAAGAAGTGCCCCCTTTATTTACACCAGCTGAAAGAGGCCCCATACAAACAACAACTTGCTTTGAGCTGTAATGGAAATGGATTTAGGAGTCCAGGATCCCCCCAAAGCAGCTTACAGATAGTGCCTTTAGACAGTTTGGTGCTCCTAAATTTTCAGCCTACTCTGTTGCAGTACAACTTGGTGCTAAGCTCAGCATTCACGTTGGCCTTAATCAGATGCACAGTGGTTCAGGAAACCTATCTACACTTAGGCAGTGGCTGCCAATTCGTGCCATACACTCATTTCCCTCAACACTGGCACCCCAACGAAAATTGCCAGGCTGAAAAAAATCCGTCTCCCTTCACTCCTAAAAGGTTTCTGCAAAACAGGTATATGAGTACACAGGGACTGGCAGATACCACAGCTCAGCTGCCAGAGCTTTTCTAAAGTTAAACCTCCAAGGATGCTCACCCAGGGGGAGACTGTTTTCCACAGGTGGAAACTCTGCAGCAGCAAAACTGCCTTGCACCTTTTATTACACTGAATAAAAAGCTTTGGGAATTCTTGCTTGAGTGGGTGGGAATGAGAATTGTATTGAGGCAGCAAAAGGCTTTCCCTCTCTGACGTCGGTACCACCAACATATTGTGCCACCTCCACTTTCAAGGTGGGGCTTTAGATCCCTTCCCCACACTGCTATGCTTGTCCTGCCACCTCCACAGCATAAAGAGAAGGGCAGACACTGGAAGAAAATGCCCTGTGTGCAACTGGAACTCAACATGTGAAAGCTACGTGAAAATGACTGTATGTTCACACTGTGCCCAAGGTTTCCTTGTGTGCTGAGGAGAGGATGGGACAGACAATTCTGCCTTACCATAAGGAAAGCCAGAAGCAATACATACATCACAGTGACTTAACAGCACGCGTCCTGATGGTGCCTAGGACATTTCTTTCTGCATAGTTCACCTTTAAATTGACTGCGCTATGGATCCCAAGGGTGCTTTTGAGCTTCAGTGGTGCTGACTGCAAGAGTTTGCTGGGAAAATTCAAGTCTCCTGCTCCGAGCTGTAGCAACTAACGCCTGTGTCCCAGGCTCAGAGAAGCTCCCAGAGCAGCTGTGCAAGATCTTGAACCAGCATGGGATTGTGGTTCACCACTGTGTATTGGAGATACGCTCTGCCTGGTTCAAAGGCAACTGGCTTCCATTAGAGGATGGGTAAGACAGGAGAAGGAGACAAGAGCAGACAAGAAAAGCACTGCTAGCAAGCAAAAAGAGAAGCAGACAAAGGCAAATCTAAGGGAAGGGCTAAAGGGAAAAACTCAAAGGCAAAACACTATCTCCCCAGGTAAAGGAGACAGCAGCTGTTCAGAACACTGCTCCAGGCAGCACTCCGACTGAGTTACCAAAACACAGGAGGTGAGGGACTGTGGCTATGCACACCTTCTGACTAGCAAGGCAGGCAAATCCCTTCTTCATCCCCTGCACACTTTAACATGTTTTAAGGACTCCACGCAATGCAGACACCAGTAAATTTCTGGAAGTTTCTCTGCCCTGCTACAACAGAGGAAGAACAAAAGGATCTAAAAGTTTCTGCAAGTTCAGCAACTAAACGTTACAGAAGGCAAGAGTTGGGTGCCAGGTGCCAATGCAAGTAGCCTATGGACCAGCCATCCCCTGGCTCATTAAAAAAAATTTTAATAAGTGCCTTTACATGACTGATGGAAGCAAACTGTCAGTAAGGGCTAATAACCAGCTCTGCTGGCTACAGATTGACAGGTGCAGAATAAAAGGGCACCATGCAAGCCTGAGCATCTGAACATCTCACTTGCCCTGTTTGTGACATCAACTCAACTGATGCTCTCCAAATCAACAACCATGTGAGAAGCACATCTTGAACTGCACAGAGGAAAGAGAAGCACTGGCAAAAAATGAATGTCAAAGTAAAGAGGTCTGCTGTGTATATAATTCATGTCCAAGTCAGTATTTTGTGCAATTAACTCCCAGAGCTGGGCTTCTCAGGAAAGGCTGTGCAAATACTTACTTTATTCTGTAGCACCAAGGGAATTAACCTGCTTGACCCACTCTGCTGTCCTATAAAAGTTGCCATGCCTGAGGGGAACTGAGGTAATGAGGGATCTACTTCTAAATTGCCTTCCAAGCTCTATATCCCACTTCAGACTAGATTTGCAGGGTAAGGCCAATTTCAGCTTCTCTGGACTAGCTGTGGCAAAGGCCATTTCCAATAAAGTTGGTGGGAGCTACAATTTCTTTTAACTTGGGTATGTATTATGATATGCTTCCCTATTAAAAAATCATGTCCTGAGAGGACCCAGCATGACAGACAGCTTAACCTGGTAGCCTGGGAGGAGGGAAGTTATGAAAGCAATGGATTACAGACCTCTCAGCATTACTTCTTCCTTGGGTTTCAGTAGCATGGAAGAATGCAGTTGATCTGACTCAGCAAAGCCTTGGCTGACAGCCAGCTAGCTGTTGGGTCTGTTTTGCACACAGGGAATTTACTAACCATTTAACAAAACAAGATTTCTACTTTTTTTCTTATTGTTTTCTACCCCCCGTATTCAAATATATCAAAAAAAGAGCTTTTGGTCAATCAGAAATATGAAATGGGGGATTTGAAAGAAATGCATGGATTTCAGTTCTAGTGCAAATCTTAGATCTCTGGAACTTCTCTCCCCATCCCCTCCCACTTTTGTTTTGGGAATTGCACACCATAAAAACACACAGGTTGTTCTGAAAAAAGAATCTTGACAACTTAAGAAAGCAGGCAGTGGTGAAAGGCTGGAAGTATCTGGAGTTAGAATAATTGTGTCCTTGTGTTAGTAGGCAAAGATTCAGTCACAGCTTCAGATACCCCGGCATCAAACTCACTTAAAATGGCTCAGTCTGTACAACTCTAGAAGAATTTGAACTGAATTAATTACCTAGTTTTCACTTTGAGAGCTTACCTTTCCTTTGCAGATCTGCATCAGGCTGATCGCATTGGAAATTGTGTATCTTCTCATTGTGGAGTCTTTGATGGCAGGCGTGTAAAGAAGTTCAAAGTAAATGCCTCGATCTATTGCCTTCACATGAAAGAGAGTAATCAAAAATCAAAAGGAGAGGAGCTTAACAATCTAACAGCTGCTGTCAATTACTGATATAGCTTATTCTCAGTTAACCTGTTTTATATATGAAAAAATTAAGTGGAATTTTTCCAGCAAGACCCCAGCATAGCATGAAAGGATCATAGGGGAAAGCTCCATTGTACACCAGGTACGTGTACTTGAATCCTGGGATGACAGATAAATGAGGTTTAACAAACAAAGAATTACCAGCCACTTAGTTGTTGTAATTGGCTTTCCACTATCACAGAGATGAGGAAACAGGTAAACATTGCTGGTCAGAAACAAGTCTTGAAACCCTGAGGACTCTACTCCTCTAGTCCCACACCCTGCTCTAAGAAAGATCACCACTTCCCACAGTACCCATGTCTTGCAGATGAAGAATTTGTCCTTGTATAAAAGCAAGCAATCAAGACCCTTCTCCTGTCTCACAGCATACTCTGGTATTTGTGACAATATTAAATAACACTGACTCACAGAAGAGGTTCCAAATAGTAATACTGATTATATTTTCAGCTGCTTTAAAATCTTTGCTATGTGTCAAAGTACCTCACCAAAAGCCTAGTATTCTTGTTTTTGCAAACAGAGAAAGATTAAGCAACTTGCTATACAGCACAGTGCACTAGTGATAAAGACACAATTTAGAGCTGGGAGTTCTTTGGTCCATGGCCTATAATACATTTGCCTGAAGTGATACTCTATGCTTTATACTCATATTATTAAAATATGCTGCAATGCTAATATTGTAAGAGAGTCCAGTAACTGAATACAGATGGAATTAATCCAGCTCCCATCCATGCATGACCTCTGCATGCAAGCACAACAGAAGCTATGTATACATCAAATGGTTTACACAGAACTGGAATGACATCTGCAAACAAGAGAAGCCTGACTTTATCAAAACCAAAACAGGTGATGGCAATACATCAATTTCCAGCCAAGCAGATTTTTAACCTCATCCCCACCACTTCAGCTGCCTGCCAATCTGTCTGCCTGGCATCGTAACAACCAAAACTGACTGCCCCGGGATGCACAAAACCAGTCCAACAGACAGACTGCCTTGCAGCTGGGAGTGTGAAAGATGAGAAGTAGCTTGTAAGGAAAATGTCTCCCAACACAGGGCTCCAAGAGCCACACAGCTCCTTATCTGGGTCATCTTCTGGAGTTTTAGGCAGCTAAGGTACTCTCAAACAACATTTCATACAAAATTGTTATTCCAGGCGGAATGTTAAAGTTCTTAGTTTATAATAAAATCTGTTGTAATATTTTTATTCTGTTTCAGAATTAATTCTAGCTAATTTTTAATTTTTATTCTAGGTCAAACTTTCTGAGAAAAGGAAGTAGGATTACTAGCCAATTCCAAATTTAAATTTTTAAGCACTAAGGACTACATCAGCCAAAAATGCCCATGTGGAATGAACCTGGACATATATTCAGAGGAAAAAACTAGTTCACCTAAGAGCATGTTCAGATTAAACTTTCTGGCAAGCCACCAAACAAGGCAGAACTGAATTAAAAAAACATTGGATCCACGCTGACAGCCATCTTGTGTCCCACAGCAGATATTTAGCAATTTCACATTTGGTTCAATTACCAAGACATTCTTTTGTCTAAGTATGGATTCAATGCAGTTGTCTTCCAAGTAACCAGCACATCATCTTTCTCCTAAATTAACACTGTCATTCACGTTTCTTGTCTTTTAAATCACAGGGCTGTTTATCTATTCTGACACAGCTGTACCACTTCTGGTTTGGGAAGCAGCTTAGCCAGCAATCACACCACATCTCATTGCTTGGCAGAGTAGTGGCCTTAAGGCTCTGTTTCCATTCCTTGGGAACACCACTTCTGCCTTTTTAAGTGGGGGACGGGAGGAGAAAAAGAAAGAATATACATCACTGTGTATTAAATGCTGCAGTGGAGGCCCTGACGTGAGGGACATCTGGAACAACACCATATATTATGCAAGAAAATAAAAGAACTGCTTGGATGGGAATGGTGGGAGGAAAGGGGTAGGGAATTCTACTGAAATTCTGTATTTAATGTCAGTTCAGTCTAACAGCAAGAAAACAATTTAGATGTAAATTTACCATATTCACAGGGGGTCTTCGGAAGTAGAATGGCAGCTTTTCTGTAACATTTATGCACACCAGATCCACATCTAGAGTTGTGCAAGCAATCTACAGCAAAGAGAAAGGAACAGGTTATTAGATATCCCAAAGAAAATGCATAACCAACTTTAGGTGCATTAATGTTTTCTTTCATTTCTTAATGCAACAAACGTCTCTCCAAGGTCAGTTCAGTTTTAAAATTAAGAGGTACTATGCCATGCAGGTATGCCAATAGAACAGCAGGGCTACAAATACACAGCCTGAGCACCTGAGGCTTAAACCTCAAGTCTTCTCTCACTCAGAGAGCTACTTTTCCAATAAAATAATGACCAACCCCAAAGCAAGGCTTACTGCTTTGTTTTTATCTGACAAGAGGACACGCAGAAGCAATGCTGGCTTTTGACAAAAGAACTCACAGGTTCAACCTTTGACAGGAACAACCCCAGCTTACAAAGGGAACAACCCAGGAAGTGCCCCCTACCCTATCATGCTCTACTTCCAGTGCAACACCTGTTTGTTTTCAGGATTAGTTATTTTTACCAAAAGCAACAAAAACTGAAAGAAAAGCAGAATTTTAGACAGTGTTGCATGTCCAATACTGGAGATCGATCCACAGGGCCTCTCTTTCCTGGCTGGGTGGAGAATGTGCAGCTTTTTCTGAGAGCCACACCTCTGGTGGGGCCTGAAGATGGCACTGAAGGCTACGGTTTAAAAGTTTAGCTTTGAATACATACCACAATTTACAGGTTGTATTAAGAGATGGAGGGAACGAACAAAGGGTGGAGACTCATCACACTGAGATACAGGGAAAATCAACTGCACATGAAAGGGAGCCCTTAATTTACATTGACCTCATGCACACAAGGTATGTAGGAATTATATGTGCCTACCCGATAAAGACGATTACACGAGGCCAGACTAATGTCTGCAAACAGCGTTGTAACAAAGAAAATAAAATAGGCTGAAGAAGTTGAAAAGAAATTTTCTGTGTGTAGGGGAACTCTCTGCTTTCAGAAACCTGCCAGCAACTGCTCCAAATACACCTGGGCCAGGCGCCAACCATTCATCCCTCCTCCCACCGGCATGAAAGCAGTGGGGGTTGCGGGCAGTCCCAGGGGTGGGCTGCTCTGATGCAAGGCAGCCTATTGCTTTGCAAACTACTCTTCTACCAGTTTGTTCACACGGAATTTGGACAGAGATGAGAGCAGACACCCAGCTTTAGGAATGTTTCTTAGCTGTTGATAGCACTCCCTCCTAGACAAGAGAGCCACAGCACACATGCAGTCAGACCACAAGGTTTTTGAAGTTAAAATATCTCTACCAGGCCGTTCAGACTAAACTTTATCAACTCTGTTAGACAGGACACTGTTGGAATCTATTGCATAGAATTAAACTTGCATGTGGAAGTTCAGCCCTACTACAGCCAGTTTTCCTCCTTGTCTTACATGAAATACAAACTACCAGACAGAGTTGATTTACAAGAACATGCACAGAACAAATAGCTGCGAATCATGTTCTTGAAAGGATGTCAGTGAGGCCATAAAAATACAGGAAGAGATAATGCTAAAAATGAAGGAAAGCAAAAATAGACATCAGAAGCATTCAAGCTTCCCTATGTCATGAGAAATCAAGCCTTCCTAATCAGCTCCAGAAACACTGGAAAAGTCTTTTCCAGTTCGCAAATTAAGCACAGTTGGAGAGAGAGTGACTCAAATGCCAGAATATCTACAGGATTCCAGTGACCAGAACATTTCATAAAATACCACTGAGGGAAAACAAAATTAAGAGTCATACCTCCCCCTGAGGAATTGCTGCACTGCATGGAAAACTGGAGAGGAGATTTCTCCAAACATTCTTATGTTCAGCCAACCTCTGGCTCACAAGTCACACATGCAGGCAACTTAAGGTTACCCTGCCTGCTGAAAGGATCTGAAGTGCAACAACTTTGTACAGAAAATGACATCAGTGGTTGCACAGCCCAGCACCTGCCTGGCCACACTGTGGGCAAGAGCCCCATCTGCTGGGAAACTGTAGACGGCCATAAATAAATAAATTTGCCACTGTTAGGATGCTCTGAAGCAAGCTTTGGCAAATATTTTAGGAATAAACATTGAAATTTGGCTTTGCACTACATCCTGGAACTTACATAAGCAAGTTTTTTTAGATACTGGTGCTCTGCTAATTGCTTACAAACAGCAAACAGAGCTAACTAATACAATTAATATTCAAAAATCTCAAAAAGCAAAAGTTTTGAAAAGCAACAGGCACAGACCTTATTACTGGCACAGAGTGGGCATTCCTGTTGCAGCCCAAAACAATCCTTCTGGAAGACTTAAAGAAGAAGCCTGTTCTACAATTGGCAAACACAGCTTCCTCATACCCTTGAGGTAATGCTGAGTTACCAAAAGCCAGTTTTAAAATATGAAGTTGATTTGTGACCCACTCTAGATGGCTTTATTCTTAACAGAGAAACATCCATGAATCATAAGAGCCAAATGTAGGTGCTGAAACCCCACGCGTAATGTCACTTGTGTCAGACTCCCCGTTGATAGCTCTACACATTACTGTTAACACAGCTCTCCACAGACAGTTAAGAAAATTTAAAATCTTAAAACAAAAGACAAACATTCAAACCTGCCCTGAACATGAACATGTAAGGATGAAGTCTTTCACCTCACGTGGTTTGCAAGAAACATGCTTGGGTTCTATCCCCAGCTCAAAGTGCTGCCAGCATGGAAGCAATGAAGATGGTCTCACTGACAATCCTGCTTCTGTCCTAACACACTGCACAGAGTGTCAGCTTAACCAGTCTCTATCTGCACTGGCCCGCCCAGAGCACAGCCATCCACTCTGTGCTGGCACAACGATCTGCATGGCTGAATCAGAGCAGAAAAGCGGATCTGCCTGAAAAATAACTTGGCAAAAACTCTGGTTACTGTTCAGCCAAAAGCACGTTCCTCAAAGCAAACTGCCAGGCAGCTAGGCATACAAGCAGCCTCACCAGTATAGTCAGGGACCTGCAGAAATTAGTGTTTTTCATGCAGAAATGTTTATGACAGCTTAAGCATCGCCACAGCTGGATGTCCAACTACAGCAGGACTCATGATATGGCTGAAAATAAACAATAATCACCCTTAAATGAGAGCACATCCTTTCCCCAAAAAACAACACAGCACACCCCTGCTGATTATCTAACTTCAGGCACTTGTTTAAACATATGATAACTGATTGAGCTCACTTAAGAAGTGAGATTTTATGCTGTTGCCAGAGATCAAAAGAGAGAGGTGGAGAGCGGCCCTTAAAAGTATTTTACAACCATTTGCCTCCATCACACCCCCAAGAGTCCTAAAATCTTGCACGGGAAATAAAATTCAGAAATTAGTTTTATTAAGCTGTAACTGTTATAATTAATGCTTGAATTCTTCTACTGAAAGCTTCTTTAAAGTTCACCTCCTTCTACAGCCTCTTGCTTTGTACTATACTTGGACAAGTCTTCAAAAAGGAGGGGAAATAATTTAGAAAAACAAAACAGAAGAATATAATTTTAATGTGGCAAAACAGGTACTCAACAGTACTGGAAAGTGGCTTTAACTTATTTAGAAAAGCCAACCACCAGACTCAGTTTTAAACTGACAAGTTCCCTTTGAAAGTAAATTCTCCAAAGAGACTCACATTTGTTTTTGGTGTCCCTGTGCCTCCTTAACATTGCCTCACACAGCAAGCATGCCTGCTTCCTGACTGCCAAGGCTAACAGAGATGGGATGCTTCCATCTACTCTCACAGTTCAGACTTAACTATACTTATGAGCTTACAACAGGTCAGACATCACAATATTGGGTTTTGTAAGAAAAAATCTGATAAAAACATCATTTGCTTCAAAATGCTCCACCTGATCAGAACATTGACATCAGCTGTTAACAAGTATTTGAGAAAAATTTAAATAAAAACATGAGGGAAATGGAGGTGAACACCTATCACCCAACAAGCCAAGATGAGATCTTTCTGTCTCAGACAGTGTTTTAAAACTAGGATTTTTTCTGGTATGAAAGTTCTATTGAAGATACACCAGCTATGAATAAAGGCTGGAAAACAATACGATGCTTGGTGCTTTTAGTAATGGTTAAAAATTACTGCACATCACTGTATTTAGAAGTATCAACTCTCGCTAATGTCTTCTCCAGTCAAACACCAGAAATAAACCAGTTCACTGTCAAACACACTGGATACACCTTGTTTTTCTAACATGACAGAAATGACAGAGTACTGGGGGGCTTGTTCAAAATATTTGCATTTCTATTAACATAAACCAGTGTGAGAAACAATGCTGTTGAGCTACGGTCACAAATTAGTCCTAACTAAGGTTTGAAAATTATTCACACCCACTATTTTCTCTCATACTGGGAGCGCTACCACTGCTATAAACATCAGCACCTGTTCAGTAACACCTTCAAAGACTCACCAATTTTGTGGAGGTAGTTTTCAGTTGCAAGTTTACTCTGAACAGTCAGGATAAAATCTGAGTGAGAAAATGACTGTCTGCCCTTCAAGTGTTTCCCCTGAGGCTGTTCTACTTTTGTACAGCCTCAATGGTTTTCTCAGCAGGCAAAGTAACAGATGTATCATGAAATCACAGAAGTGAAGCTTCTCTCATTCAACTTGAGCATCCAAAACACTCAAAACAAAAACAGAAATCTCAGTCTGACAATGAAGTAAGGGCTATTGGGCTTAATCAGGCATATTTACTTTTGGAAATTTTAGTTTATCTGTTCATAAGATGCTGTGACAACCAGAACTGGCTCTGTCTTGTAAGCTCCTGCTCCTCTTTTGATTTAAAATAAAGAAGGAAAAAGAAAAAGAAGAAAGGTATCAGCTATTCTTTTGGACAAACTTTCAGGAGAGGACCTAGGACTAAAAGGAAGAAGGTAACTCTCAGAACCACATTAGTTCCACTTTAAAATCTTCCCCAGCATTTCAGAAACCTGGAATGATTAATGCTAACGGAAGATCACAAGTGTGTTTTGGGGAAGTTAGAGTTTGAGAAATTAAAGTTCAAGAGAGAATTTTTCTACATGATGATAATACACATATATCGGGGGGAAAAAAAAGGATGTTTTCTCTCCTCATTAGAGTACAAGACACACAAAGGCAACCACAGTGCAGGGGCAGACAAGTCCATTCATCAGGTACATCAGGTAGATGCTTCAGACTCTGACCCGTCACCTCAAGGCCTTGCAGCCTCCTGCAATCCCTCCCAACCTGCTCAGACTATTAACTGACCAGGCAGCCTATAATGCTTAATTAGCCCCATTTATAAAATAGGAAATAAAATCAAAACAAGCATGTACTTAAACTAGCTCAAGGCACTAAAAGTTATTGAATAAGCATTACAGATCAGATGATTGTACTTACATGGAACAGTTTCTCAGTCTTTGGAAATACTGCTATCATGTCATATAACCTTATATTTGCAGATGTTGATCTCTACAAAAGGAGCAAAAAATTACTACCTTTAATTCTGGCAGATATCAAAGCTACGCACAATGATTAAAACCAAAATAATGAGAAGAAAATTTCTTTTTCCCTAGTACTAAAACAAAGCCAATAATCATCCAATTACACAGTAGGTCTCTACCGTAAAGTCATTCATTCTCAATTTGAGCGTTATTGCCACCCACCTACTAAGGCACTTACACCTTTTGCTTCAATCATGTAACACTAAAACACAACCAGACACAAGGCTTGCTCGTGGTCTTCCAGTTTATGCATGGAAGTCCAGAAATTGAAGAAAAGAACCAAGGAACAGAACTACTGTTCCTTATTGACACATGATCAGCAGAAGCCATATCCAGTCTTGTAAGTCTGCACTTCTTCATGATCACATTATTTGTTAAAGATGCAACCTGAGAAATCACTGCTGAGTGCCCTATAAAATCTAGGGAGTTCTCCCCATAAAATTTCCAAAGTTTTATTCATTCATTGAGAAAAAGAAATAAAAATTGGAAAATCGATTGCTAAATATACTTACCAAGAGATTACAGTGGGATGGATCAGAAACAACAAGTGTTAGCCGGGTTAAGACTTTAATTCTTTTAGATGTCCCCTACAGAATAAGAAATAATATAAAAGACTTAAAAGCCACCAAAGAAAAAATTTGTGGTGATTTCCACCCAGCCCGCCATAAAAAGAAAACGGTGCCTTGCTTATAGTCTTACTATACTAGTTTTCCAAAGTCTGTATTTATACTTCTCTAATTCATATTATCTCTCTAATATTATACTTGTCCTTACAAAGAATGACATGGCGTTTCTCTGAGTAAGGGTCAAGAGAAAGAAAAAAGAAAGAAAGAAAGAAAAAAAATCATGCAGAAAAACTGAGAATGTTTTATTACTGCTATGATTCCCCAGGTAGGCCACTGCAAGTTCCTGAATTAATCAATATCAGTGACTTGAAATACAGTCTTGTATTTTATTATATCCAATTTTGCTCCATCAAAACCAGGAAGTTATTTCCAAAACTCAAATTTCAAGAATTGTACTGTAATTATTGAACTACAAGCAGATTCAAAATTCACAAAAACAATCTTTAAAAATTTCCAAAATAACGAATAGAGACTACTGTGATGTGAGTGTACCATTCTTCCAAAGCTTGCTGTTTTTAACCATCAAACAATGGACAAATTTCTCCTTTCTGATTAACATCTAATATACAAAATCACATATACAAACACATCGAGGTAAAAAAATGTAACTCAGAATAATAATACACAGATAGAATGTAACTAGGCATACTTGTACAATAGGCAAAGATGGAAACAACTCTGAAGGAGATACTGGCTTGATGATTTCCTTAAAAGAGAACAGAACAAAGTTATTTAAAAATGTGATGGGTTAGGTTTACAAGTAAACAAAAGCTGTGTTCCAATCATGAGAAGAAATTTATCATGCTAAGAAAACTATTTCCCTGGGGCAGTACAGGAACAATATTAAAAATTAACCCAAGGGCAATAATACTAAATTATAAAATGGGAGTTTTGTTACAAATACAGAGTATTTGTACTTGTGTCTAGACGTGCATTCTGCAGATAAAGCTATCTGGGAACATGCAATAAAGCAGTTGGTTGACTAGAGAAAATATAGTAAAAAAATAACCCCAAGAAAAATTACCTGTTTTTTTTCTTTAAAATCGATGACATGATTAAGAGCAACTGCAGAATATCCCACTGAAAAACACACAATAAGAGTATTTTGTCCAGTAAACTAATGGAAACAAGTCCAGTCAAAAAACTGCTAAGCACTCATTACTTAAAGGTCTTAAAATTAATAAATCAAGTGCATATTTAGCTTTCACATTAATTTTTTTAAAGCTTAGTTCACTCAAGAAAGTGTTTTAAAATAAAAAAAACAAACTGTTTGCCTTTTAACATATCTCAGGCCTGACAACTTTTATTCAGTGGCAGAGCTTTATGAACACGAATACCTGGGGTTGAGGTCCTCAAAGACTGACCGAGTTTGGCCCCGTTTATGACTTTCTTTACGGAAAATTGCTAAGTACATTCAGGACAGTTGTTAAAACTGCAGGCAACGCGGAGCTGGGAGAGACACAGCTATTGGAGAAGGCAAATATGAGGACTCAAAATGATGCCGACGAAACCGAAAGGTGTCGTTCAGAAGGGCTCTAAGGAAGATGGTACACTTAACAGGGGCATTTAAATCACCCCCAAACACTGGGCAGGCAGAACCTGGCTACACAACATTTCTGCAGGAAAAGAGCCGGGTCATAAAAAACTGCAGCCGGAAAAACTTGTCCGCGTTGGGAAAAACACAACTGTTACGCTGGGATAAGCAGACACAGAGCCGGCCAAGCACAGCACGAGCTTCCCCCGCTGCTCAGAGCCGGGCCCTTGCAGGAAACTGCGGCTGGGCAGGGAGAGCGCAGAGGCGCCAGGGAACACGCGCCCGCACGGCAGCGGACGGAGAGGGGTCGGCCGGCGTGGAGGGAAGGAAAGGCTCACCCCGGAGAGCCCGGCTGCGCCCACCCCAGCCCGCAGGCTCTGGCTGTGCTCCCTGAGCCCGGCGCTCGCGTCCCGCCGCCCCCCGGGCCGGCCCGCCCTCCCCGGGCTCCCCCGCCGAGCCCCGGGCGGCCCCGCCGCCCTCCGCCCGGACTCACAGTGCGCCGCGGCCTCCAGCAGGCTCTGCAGGGACTTCTTGTCGGCCCCCTGCGGCAGGTTCAGGTCGGCGAACCCGGCCATGCTCAGGCTGGGACGGGCGGGCCGATCCCGGGCACGGCGGCGGCGCAGGGCGGCGGCACCGCCCCCCGGCCGCCCGCGGCAGCCTGGGCCGTGTAGTCCCGTCCCGGGCCGGGCCCGTGGGCCCGCCGGGCTGGTGGCACCCGCAGCATCGCAGCAGCCAAGGGAACGGGGCTTTCACGTGGCCGCGGGAGCGCTCCGGCCGGAGGTGCCCCGACACGGGGCTGCGATGGGCGGGGGACAGCCCGTGGGTTGAATTGCTCGGGTCGCAGGCGGGGTCTCCGTAGCCGGAACCTCCTCAGAGCCGCCGTGTGCCCACCAGGTGGAGCGGTAGCTTTGCTGCACTGAGGTGTTTGTCGCCTGTTAAACCGGTTGAGCTCCATCTGAACATTGTCAATAAAAAATAAAAGTAATCCTTTCTAGTTATTGCAAGGTCTTCTCTTTCCTACATTAGTTGAAACGTGAAACAAATATCCCCTGACATGGAGGAGGACTGAGGGAATCTCTAATCAGATGCAAGTTCACTGTGTAGCACTGCTACAAAAAGCACAAATGTTATTCTACCGTTGATAAATAGCACAGAATGTGTAAAATACAAATGGCAATTCCCACTAGATTTTTTTTGTTTGTTTGGTGACTTAGAGCAGGTCTGTGATTCCCGTCTGACTCCAGGTGGCCAGGCCAGGGGGTGCCTGGCTTTCTCTTTCTTCAAACTGGGCTAAATGCACACCAGAGAAAGTCTACAGGGTATCTGGACCCCTGAATTCTTAATAAGGCAAAAATGCCTGTAACCCAGGCCAAGGCATCAATGCTGTCAAACCCTTGTACATCCTTCTTTATGGGGTCTGTCCTTGATGCAGCGTGTGCTAGCTGTGCACAAGGGACTTGTGAGGACCTGCGACTCATTTCTACCAAAGTGATCACATGGTTTACAAAGGATGGCTGGGAAACAACAGTGCCTTCTTGGCATATTTCTGGCATTGCTGTCTGATGAGTTACAAAGACTTGGGATGGTGGTAGCAGAGAAGGTACTTATGGGCTGAAGACACTGCGCTAGGAGTTTGGAGCAGCTTTGAGGGTCAGTAGAAAACAGCCTGCCACGTCTATGACAGGAAAAAAACACATCACTTTGAAAGGGAAAATAAACCAAACTAGCTGGTAAACCATCTTTGTTCTTGACACATCTATAGCAGCATTTTGCTCTCAACGACACTGGGACAAGATATTTCAGTAAAGGAGCTCTCTTTTGATTTATCTGCATCTGTAAAGTGTTCACCTATTACAATCAGATCAGCCACTACGACTTCTTTACCAGTCATTTGAACAAGCAGGACAGCCTGAGTGGTATTGCCAAAGTTTTTCTTTGATATGTGTAAAAATGGAAGAGCTCAAGGTATTACTCCAGGTTTTCTTTGACTCCGTGTACAATGGAACTTGATTTAATTTGTCTTAATGAATGTAAAAAGCAATCTATAAACATGTATCAGTTATTTTTACTGCAGCAGTGTTCAGAGACACCAAACAGGATTAAGCAGTTTTTGTTTCTGGCAATATACAGGCAAAACAAACTTTTCCTCGAGGAATTAAAATGGAGACCCTTTAAACAGATCTTCATATGGAAGATCTGCAGAACCTATTATTACAGCAACCATTATTTGCTGTAATGATGTAAGAATCTGAATATGAAGCACTTCCAGCATCAGGTATCATGAATCATGTTCTCAGACTGGTGCACAACCTTATTTGCTATGATATTACTTAGATATTGCTGCTTTTATTTAAGCCAGCTCCAGTGATCTACTTAGAACCTCCTAATGATCCTCACTGTTAAGCCACAAGCTTCTAACGTGCTTTTTTCCATCAGTGTCCTGAAGTCCTCCTTGGTGAAGACAGATCTCCTCACTCCAGGTGTTTTCTTTCTCAATACACCCACATCTCAAGGCGTCCTTTCAGTAAATTTTGATCCAGAAACCTTAATGACTCTTCTAATAGGTTTTGAATGGGCAGCCCATGGTAGCAACTGTTAGGGGTTTTTTTGCTTTAGTTCTGCATTTAGCACTTTCAGGGAGCTAAGATATTATTTAATACTATCTGTCTTAGCAACTCAGTAACATGAACGTCACAGTCACTTTTATCATAACCTCACAACCTCAAAAAGCTCCTTTGTAAAGGTGCAGACTGAATCTTCAGGGTTGGGAGCTCTCATTTTCTGAGTGATACAGAATTTTTAGCATAAGTGTCATCTTAATTGTTTGTTTTCTTTTCAGATGCCAGCTTCCTGTTGTTAGCATTTGTTGGTTCTAAAAAAAGGGAAGACATAATTTCATATTTAAGTTGCACAGATGCAAGTATTTATTTTGACAATGATAAGAAATGCCAATGATGAGAAAGTTTACCTCTCTGTTTTACTCTCACAGAGTGATAATGATTTATCTTCACAAAGACAAGAAAAGGCAGAAAAGAAAACTGCAGCTGCAACATCTTTGCTAGAACTTAGACAAGAGTCTTATTTGTTAAACAGTACATGCTGGGAATAAAAATCGAGGTTTCAGTAATCATTGTCCATGGAATTCTAGCCAGTCTCTGATAAAATATTCTAAATATTTTGACAACGTATTTCCCCAAGGCAGAAGAAATGTATACCTATATTTTATTTGTTGTTCCCAACAGCAGGTGATATATATATATAGGTTTCTAAGAAAATAGATGAAAACAAAAGGAAACAAAAAATATTGCAACAGACAAATGAAAATAACAGTTTAGGGAGATAAACTGGCTCAGGCAAGAAGGACAAAAAAGAGGATGATAGGAAAAAGAGTAAGAAAAATTTCTGATCTGTTTATTTTTTGCATTGCACACTTGTGTTACCTTCCTGCCATGTATCCAAAATTGAATGGTTTAAGAAGGATAATGTAGCAGTGTCTTCAAGCTCTTATGGTAAGACGAGCAGGGCTGTTTTCTACAGGCAGCTGTGTGAGGAAAAGTGTTACCATGCCAGGCTGCCAACATTTCCTCCTCCACTGTTGAAGCTCTTGCACTGCATTCCTTGACCCATTTCAGTCAGGATCCTCCAAGCTAACACAGACCTTCTGTCTCAACAGACTCTGCAAGCATTAAGTCCTCTAGGAAGGGATGAAGTATTCAGGATCTAGTGCAAGTTCTTCAACACAAACACTTTGATAGATACAGTCTGGCCTCACTAAATCAACATGTGCCTCGGAAATTTTATTTCCTTAGCCAGTTCTGATGACCTATCTTACCTTATCTCACCAACACGGGGACAACAAATTGATACCAATACCCACTGTTATATTATACACTTAATATGAATGACAAATGCTGTAGATGTTTTGTTATTAGAACTACTTCTGGAGGAGGAGACAAAATAAAACAAATAAATTAATTACTTTTGGAGAGGAAAAAAATCAAAGTAAAAAGTTCTCTTGCTTTTTTTTTCTTTTAATCTGAAACATTTCTATATAGCAACAGTGAAATATCACAGTTGATATTTGCAAATAAAGTACATTATCACACGTGAACAAAATAGTTTACCTTCAGTAAGTAAAGAAAGAATGAACGACAAGGGCCTTAGCACAGACTTGGAGGTATACAGACATATTAAGAAGCTTTTATGCATAGAGAGCCTAAATCACTCAAAAGGACAGGACTTGACTTAGCTCAGCCAGAAAAATGATTTGATTATATTTATTGAAGCCTAATGGAAGGTGAAAAAGTAATTTCTTGGGGAGAGAACAAATGTCAACTTGTTATTCTTGACACCTAATTGGACATTTATTTCACTTCTGTATGCTGTCTGGAACAACATATTAAAATTTGTAAATAGGATCACTGAAGACAAAAGCAGGATGTACCCTTGGAAACATCAAGCCCTACCTTCATGTATCATTGCTTTAAGTATCTAGACTAGCTGTCATCTCATGGAATGATGGATGCTCTCTACTTTCACAGACACTGAGGATGTCAAAGCCTCTAAAGCCCTCAGGGAAAGCATCTCTCCAGATTCAGCCCAGCCCTGGAAACTGAAATGTTATTTTAGATGTGTCCTAGAGAAAAGCTTTCAAGAAACATATTTTAGAGATGTATCAGGTACTTCATCTTTCCAAGGTTTCACATTTTCTCTGCAATAGTACATAAATCCCTTTTTATAATGGTACATAAATTGACTTTAATTGATTTGTTTCTTCAAAGATAAGATTATGAGAGTAAATACAAAGAACGGTAACATATGGCCCTTGAGAAGGAAAGACATCAGGTGATTAACTTTTAACAAACTGTATGGGAATTTAAGGTAAAGAACAAAAGATGAGGCTAAATCCTTCTTTCAGATTGCAATGGGTAGGAGTACACACAAGTGATCCTGCATATCATCCACTGAGAATATTTAGAGAGTCACGTTCCAGAAATGTATTGAAAAGCTGTCAAGAAGAATAACTGATTTAATGAACTGTGTCAACACATTTGCAGGAAGCACCAGATTATAATTTGCTCTGCCTTAGTGACATTTTAAGCAACTGAAAAATTGCTTTTACTGGGAGTATTATATTGTACAATATTACTAGCTTTTATGATATGAATCTATTTTGAACAAAATTTACTCGGTTCCTAACTCCTTAGCTGTAATTCAGACACTATTTTTAAAAAATGTATTCGGTCATTGAGGAAACATTCTCCTTTCTCCAAGTTTTGCCTTAATGCTTTAACTTATTTTAACGTACCCTTGCCATTTCTAAAGAACTTTTTCTTCCTAATATTTCCTTAACGGAGGAAGACAGAAAAAGGACTTGCTTCATCACCGGGAGGGGTAACTCACCTGAAGCTCAAGGCTCATGAACACATTCTCCGTGGTTAAACAAGGAAAGCTTGTATTGTGATTAGACGCGATGAAGCAACTAACGAAGTTTAGGAAAACACGTGACTGAATAGGAAAACACTTTCAACTTGGTAATGGCCAAAGAGCTGCCCAACTAGATTTCATCCTTAACACATGAAACTTGCTTATTTTATTAT